TCCTTCATTTGGAAATGATTTTTCATTGGAAAAATGAGTGGTGTTTGAGGCAGGTGTTTGGCTACAAAGACTGCCTGAGCTATACTATTCTTTCATGAAAGAGGTCTAAGAGTCCAGGAAACACAGCAGCTGAGAGCTTCAGAAAAGCCCTTGCGGTCTGCTGTGTCCCCTCTGAGGATTACTCAGTGTTGGAGCATCTTTGCCACTGATGGTCAGAGAGCCTGAGGGTAGAGAGTAGAGCTTCTTGAAAGTTTCAAGAAGAACTAGCATGGCTGTTCTAGTGATTGGTGGGTAAAAGTTTACAGAATTTTCTTTCATTGTAACCTACCTGGTGGTACAATTTAGAAGCTAAGGTTCCTGTTGACTTCTAACCACCAGAGGCTACATATATTACCCAAAAAAACCTAACTGCTGATTAATCACTGAGGCCTAAGTCAGTGTACAACATCTCCCTATGGTGGTGCACTCCCAGAATGCTGCTTCTGCAGCAAATTTTGTTCTAGTTAAATGTCTAGGCACTTCCTGCTGGCTGAGCTCATCCACAGCGGAACTTTGCTGAGGCACTAAGAACTTTGCCTATGTCCAGCCCATTCCTCACACAACTATCCCATGCAAAGACCCATCAACTCCTGGGTATTTCCCTAGGAGCAGTCTGGGAAGCACAAAAACCTTTACCTCCTCTCTGCAATCTGCATTAATTCTGCCACCATATTCAATAGTTCTCAAATATTAATGTGCAGTAGAATTACCTGGAAAGCTCGTTAAAATGTATTATTTGAATGACTATATTCTTGTGCCTTGGTAGATGTGAAGTGTTGGACTTTGCATAAATTGTAGCAGTTTATTAATGGACAAGGGGTTGGGTATGGACTGAAATCCAGCCTATTCTCAGCCTGCCAAGCTCCGTGCTCTGGTGTGGGCCTGGTCACCAGAGGATGAGGCAGTCTTCTCTTTGTTTTAGTTTCATCTGCTTTCCAAGCCTTATATCTGTGGGGATATATCCACAAGGGCAGTGGGTGGAGGAGGCTTTGTTTAATTGTCACAAAAGCTCTCTATGCCCTGATGTATTAGGCCAGGTCTTCCAAAAGGTAGATACCAGACATGGCTAGAAGTGAAATATTACTTAGAGGAAACATCCTTGAGACAAAATAAGTAGGAAGCCAGGAGAAGCAAAGGAAGCTCTCAGACAGCGATGAAGTTCTGATCCCTGTGAATGAGAGAAGTCAAGGAAGGTTGGATACAAAAAATTTTGACTATGTGTAGTTCTAAGAAAATTTGGTAAAGCTGGAGTCCTCCAGCCAAAAATCACCCAACAAAGGAGTCCTGCTCCTGAAGGAGTGGCCTACCCTGGCATCAGTACCACCCTCGGTCACATAGCAGTCATGGGAAGTGTGGCTTCATAAACAAAATGGTGGATTTCAAGGTAATTATGCTTCCAAAGTCAGACATCTGAGAGGTGCATTTTTATGGATGCATATCGGATAAGGGGGGACTTGGAAATGTCTTTATAACACTTCCCCTCTTGCAGGTGATTTGGAACAGCTGGTCCAGTGAACCACCCTGAGAGGAATATCTACCTAGAGTTTTAAAAAGAACGGCTTAGCCAAGCCAGGCTCGGTGGCTCAGCCTGTAATCCCACGCCTTTGGGAGGCTGAGGTGAGCGGATTGCCTGTGCCCACGGGTTCGAGACCCGCCTGGGCAGCAAGACCTCATCTCTACAATAAATCAAAAAATCAGCCGGGCGTAGTAGCGCGCGCCTGTAATTCCGGCTACTTGGAAGGCTGAGGTGGAAGGATTGCCGGAGCCCAGCAGGTCGAGGCTGTGGTGGCCGGGAGCGGCCGACAGAGTGAGACTCCAACTCAAAAAAAAAAAAAAGAACGGCTTGTTAACTTCCTGGACACAAAGTCACATGCTTAGAAGCTGGGATGAGGGAAAGCTTTCCAGTTCCTCTTGTAGCTAGAACATGGTTATACTCTCAGTAGATGACTTTTTTCCCCTTTTCTCCTATGGGTGCTATAATAGAAATGGGTCCATTGGAACAGGCACCCAGAAGGTAGAAAAGCCTAAAGGGTCTCAGAGGCGGGGTCAGGGAGGGGGGGTCTTTGAGAGTGGGAAGAACACAGGTGAGACATGGAGAGAAAGACAGGTCTGGGGGAGTCGACTGGCCTGGACGGTAGGAAGGCAAGACAAAGACAGGGAGGGGAGTTGGTGCTTTGCATGGAGGAGCCGATTCAATGGAATGTGAGGGCAAAAGCCTGGGATTCAGGTGTTTTCACTAGCAAACATTAAAATATTCGGGAGGACATCTCTGAAAGGTGGCTCTAAGTGCTCAGTCTTAGGTTGGAGGAGACCCTGTGCTCTTCTAAGCTAGTCCTGAAGGCAAGCTGGCTATCACCAAGGGAGTACCTTGCACACCCGTCCTGAGGATAGGCGCAGGGACCAAGAGTGAAAAATAAGGGAATATTTGTTGCTTCTCTATCTTCCTAGTCCTGCCTTGGTTCAAAAAACACCATTTCAGTCCAAGATTGGCCTGCTATGAAAAACAAACAGAAGAACACTTTGGTAGTGAACAATTTGCAAAGATGCTCTCTCAGCCCCCGTGCTGGGCATCGTGAGTGGACTCAAGTGGTTCCTTAGGTTTTTAGATGAGTTCCCAAGTGCTTACCCAGCCCCTGCTTGGTCAAGCTCTCTGTCTTCCTCTCCATCCTCACTTACTGCTGCTGTTCTTTAGAAAAATATTTAAATAATTCCTTAGTGATTCAGCTGTTGCCATCTGTTGAGACAAGATCTAAACCAACAGGACCGTTCGATATTTGGGGGAAGGATTGGTAACATCCAGTAGGCAGAGAGATGAAACTCTAGATCTCTTCCCTTACAACCCTCATCCCAGGTTGTAACCCAATATTGCCTGGCGGTCCGTCAATCCACGACTCTCTCCTCACTAGACCAGTAGGACCCGAAAATAGAATCCAGGTCTGTGTTCTCACCCATATAAAACCAAGACCTTCCATGGTGACTGTTTCAAGCAGGTGTCCAGTAGTTTATTTCCTGAGTGTTGTTAACTGTTACAATACCAGTCTGAAAGAATAAAAACCAGAGAAGAAGATCTACTCAATAATTGCAACTACCATTCATTCACCAAGTACCTGCTGTTTCCAGTTCCTGCAACAACCTGCCTGGAGGATGGTCTTGTCCCAGCCCACACTTGAACTGAATCTCAAGCCAGGCATGGACTTTCTCAACAGCAAAGGGTTACTTGCAAAAGGTTACTAGCAAAGGTTGAGCTGAGATTCAAACCCAGAACATTCTGATAGCAACATCCCAGCGCTTTGCATGACACCATCAAATCTCACATCACCACCAGCCTTGTTTGTGGGAGCAGCCCAAACCAGAGTCTTGTTTTTCACTGTGACTTATACGTATGAGTTACATGCCACATAGAAATGTGTTTGTGTGAACGAGGCAGGATCAAGCGTTATTCCAAATTTGGGGTAGCAAGGCAGAGGACTTCCACAAAACTGCCAATAATACAAAGTTCTAGGTAATAATAAGGAGTGCGTGTGTTTACTACTCACAGCAGTCCCCTAAAGTTAGGTCTATTTGTAGCTCCACTTCCTAGATAAGAACCCATGTCGACTCCACACTCAAAGTGGAGAATAATAGCAAGTGTAAAAAGAAATAGACTTAAAAAAAAAAAAAACCCTCGGCCAGGCAAAGTGGCTCAAACCTGTAATTCCAGCACTTTGGGAAGCCGAGGTAAGGGAATTGCCTGAGCTCAGGGGTTCAAGACCAGTGTGGGCAACTTGGTGAGATATATACAATATATATCTACAATATATCACAAAAAAATTAGCCGGGCATGGTAGCATGCACCTGTAGTTCCTGCTACTTGGAAAGCTGAGGTGGAAGGATCACCTGAGCCCAGCAGGTCGACCCAGTCTGGGCGATGGAGTGAGACCCTGACTCAAAAAAAAGTCCTCGTTGCAGTAACACCTTAAACTTCTGTCACTTATCATAGTTTTAAATTCTCTATTTGATTTTGGGCATGGTTCTATCTGGCTTTCTAGCTAAATGTTCCTTTGCTCTAACTTGAAAAATATACTGGTGTATAGTAGGTATCCTCTGGATGTTTCATGAACATGAAATCTTCTAATAAATGTTTATAAACATTCCAGTTTGGGTCTAGAACTGCACAGAAGTACAAAAATCTATGTTTGTTTGGAATCAGCTTCTGAGAGAAACCAAAATTCCTTTGCCTGCCATACGAGGCACATCACTAATCAGCCCCCACTGTCCTACCATATCTTGTCAACCCCACCACTGTCACACCCCAGTGCCAGTCCCACAGACCCCACCATTCCCAGAATAGGCCATGCCCATTTGCAACCCCAGACTTGGCACTTGCTACCCACTCTTCCTAAAATCCCCTTCCCTTATAAACACCACCAACTCCTACTGCACCTTCCAAACCCCAGCTTAGATTACTCCTCCTCGTGGATGTCTCTCAGGGACCCTAAGACAACTTCACAGCAACCTTTGCTGGACTCCCTCAGTACCCTGTCTAGCACACTAAGGAAGAGGCCTGGCTTCAGAATCATGCTAAGGGCTGAGCTCAGTTCCTAGCTTTGCAACTTATAAACTGTGGGACCTTGGTGAGAGTTATGTGACCTCTCTAAGCTTCAGCCTCCTCATCTGCTAATTGGCAGCAACCATGACCACCCCTGAGGTGTGAGAGGAATGATTTCATTAGATCAGTGTAAAGAGAATCACAAACACTCAAGTCATGGTAGACTGCGTGATATCTTCTATGACAGCATGTGACCACAGTTTACACACTTGCCTTCCCTGTAACCCCTAAGTGATACCAACAGACTCTGCAGTGATTTCCTTCCCCTGGCAACTAGCACACTCACTGGCTCATGGGAGATGCTTAAGTGCATCCTTGCAGGATGCTTGTGCACAGTCATGAATGAATGAATCTGAGCTGTTTGACTTTCTAGACTGTCCAGGAGGAGCGGAATCCCCCTGCAGTGGCCGGGGCAGTTGTGCAGAAGGTATGGAAGGAAATGGAACCTGCTCTTGCCAAGTAAGTTCAGAAATGTGTTCTCCCTCTCCCCAGTGCTGTATCCCTTTTACCTGTTGATCCACTTTAAATATCACATGTGCACGCACGTGTACACACACACACACACACACACACACACACACACACACACACAGACACACACACACACTAGGTAGAGTCTCTATTTGCAACAAAATGACCTCCTAGAGTCAATCAACTGCTCAGCCTTAAGCATACCCCTCTGCAAAATGGATTTGAAGTAATACTTGTTAAAAACATAAAATGAGGTCATGTATGTGAAAATACACCATGAAACTACACTGGGTTCTAGAAATCGATGTCCTTGTCACTACTAATCATCACCACTGGGGGCAGACTACCCTTTGGTGCTATCCTCCGCATCCTTTGTGGGCCGTTTTATTTGCCAATCAACATATTTTAATTAAAAAAAGAAGACCGACTGTTTCAATCAATGAAACTTAAAGTTTCTCCTGGATCCTAGACTTCATATTTATAAATGTATAATGTGTTAAACTACTGTTTGGTTTAAATGGACTTGTTGGGTTAGCTTGGGGGATATTATCATTTTTACTGTTTTCTACAGGGAAAATATTTTCCAATATGTATCAAAACAACTTTGGACTTTAAAATTACAGCCCATTTTTAAGTTGGAGCTATCTGCGTAGCTATTTCTCTACACTTGTACATACGATGCTTTTACTGTAAAATGAGTTAATGTATAAAATACTGCCTCGTGTCATAATAAAGATAGTAATGCATTGGGGGAAAAAAGTTCTTTGTTATCTCGGGAAAGTGACTTTTTGCAAGTCTCTAGCCTTAGGGGATTTAAATACAAATAAATCCTTCTGAAAGGAATTGAGCTCAGCTGTCTTCAGAAATGCAAAACTGGAAGAGTTTTCCTTTCACCCTTGGGTGAAATGGGCAAGAGATGTGACTGTTGTCACCCTGTTTCTGTCTTTAAACTGGCAAAGTAGCTTTCTTCTGAGAAGCTTCAGACCCTCAGTGAAAAATGATACCAGGATTAATGCAGGCATTATAACGCAAACAGAAGGAAGGAGCTTCAGGGAAGGTGCAGAGGGCAGATATATTTGAGAACAAACTCTGACCAGATCACCAGTTGAAAACCAAAGAGCATCCTGGGTGACATGGGGATCACCTTGGGTCTAATGTCAACTCCCTGGGGTGTTTTGCAGGAAGGGTTTGGTGGAACAGCCTGTGAAACCTGTGCTGACGACACCTTATTTGGACCCAACTGTTCAGCAGGTATGTCTGCCATTTGTGTAATCAATGCATTGTAAATGCTGATCGACTCCAGAGAGACAGCTCCTTGAGGAGAAAGCATCGAGCAGTTATAGGTCACCAAGTCTCCATAGGGAAAACAAATCTGACAGCAACTCTGATTAAATTCAATCATTGGAAAGAGAGATGGCGTTTTCTGTGGTTCTCATCCCTGTGCATGCAGCCAGCTACTCGCCAGTAATTGTTTCTGGTTTCTCTACGATTCTCTCTCCCAGGCTCTGAGATCCCACAGCTGCCCATTCCTTGCCTGCCCAGTTTCTCTCTAGGATCTCTCTGTATCCTGGTTTCAGCATAAATCCAGGGACTTCTGATTCTATCATAGGTCTCACCTGATTCTAATTTTTTCCTTCCTTGTGGGAGTTCACAAATAATTACTAAGGTGGTCAGAAATCGTTGGCTCCAAATTAAACAAACCTGAGAATGCCTTGTCTATGCTCTCATTTTGAGTGTCCCCAGGAGTAGACCCCAAGGCAGAGATTTGAGTACAAGTGGTAAATTTGGAGGGCAATCCCAGGAAGCACTAGCATGTGAGAAGTGGCATGGGGAAATAAAAGGTGTGTTATCAAGCCAGGGGTCACTGTGGACACTGGAGCCTGATGCCCTGGAGAGCTCAGGGGGTCAGTGCAGAACATACAGCTCAGAGTGACCTTGCCCGAATACCAAGGCAACCACAATGTAATAGGCAGAATAATGGTTCCCCAAGATGTCCACACCCAAAGCTCTGGGACCTGGGAGTGTGGTACCTTACATGGCAAGGGGGAATCAAGGTAGCAGATTGAGTTAAAGTTGCTGATCAGCTGATGCTAAGGTAAAAGATGATGCTTCTAGTATGATTACAAGCATTCCTAAGTGTAGAGGCAGTAAGTGAGTGTCAAAGTGGCATGAGATGTAAGAAGGCTTCCCCTAACCACTGCTGGCTTTGAAGATGGAAGGGGGGCACGAATCAAGGAATGTGGGTGGCCTCTGGAGGCTGGAAAAGACACAGAAACAGATTCTTCCCAGAGCCTGCACAAAGGAATACAACCTGCCAATACCATGATCATAGCACAACGATTTGGGATGTGTAAGAAATGTAAGACAACAAATGTGTGTTGTTTGAAGATACGAAACTTGTGGCAGTATGTTACAGCAGTGATAGGAAGCTGATACACACAGCTGCACAGAGAGCACTGTGCATTTCTTGGCACTGCTAGCATCCAGTGAGCGCTTGGGCAGAGGTTCCCAGTCAGAGGTTCACACAAAACCCTTTGGCAAATAGCTGTGGAGTTTGACAGCCAACTGGAATGCCAGGGTAAGACCAAAAGAATGTGGGTGTGGTAGGGACAGTGTCTGCCAGAGCCACATTTCCCAAAATGACATACACTGAGTGGCTTTTCTCCAGTACCACTTTGGTTCTGGCTTTCATGGAAAAATTAAATTCAATAGACACTGCTTTGATTCAAATATTTTTTGCAAGAAAATCTACACACACACATGCACATCCCACCCCCTTAAATTTGCACACTCTGCAGTAAGTGTCACCTGCAATAGCAGAAGCACTGCCTCTCTCTGACCTGTGGGGTGCTCAAAAGCAGGCACCATGGGGTCTTCATCTCTGGTACCTTCTATGTATGCATGAGTGCATGGTATCTATGTGTACATGCATGGTATGTGTGCACGCTTGGTATGTAGACATTCACTACACTGTTGTTGAATGAATAAACGAGTGAGTGCATGAATGGATGAATTAATGAATGATCTAATTTGCTCCAACAATGTTATCTTGACCCAGACACACAGTGCTGAACCCAGGCTTTAAACTCATACTGGGTTTCAACTCCAGGGCTGCTAATTGTGGTAATGTAGGTGAGTACATGACACATTCTCTCTGCTTGTGTTTTTATCTATAAAAATAGAAATAATATTGTCTCTTTTAGGGAAGATTTAATGGAATCATTAGTGCACACTAAATGCTAGCAATTATTATTATGACCTGTTGCTACCCAGTATCCCCTAGTCTTTGGTGTTTCTTACCCACTACTCCACAAGAGGTTATTTCACAAGGGTGTTAGCTCATGCAAACTTAAAGCAGACATTGATATCTTATATGCTGTTTTTAATGTTATGCATTGCTTTAAAGAACAATTAACTAAAAAGTGGATTTTGAGCAATTAAAATACTATAAGAAAGGGATTGGCTGTAGCAGAAAACTGTCTGGGGAGGGAGTGGGATTGGCACTGAGGGAAACTGCTAAGGGAGGGAGGGACATACTTCATCAACAAGGGTACCTGCCTAATCAACGTTTATATACCTAACCCCGAATTGTACCCCACATCTTTATAACAAAAAAAGAAATTACATTTGACCCAGAAAAAAAGTAATAAAATAGTCAATCAACTGTTTAGAAATAGTATGTCTCATTCCAAGTTGGCCCTTCCTTACCATAATACTAGAATTTAAATTACACATTTCAAATAAATATTGAAAGGAAAAGGAATAAAGAAGGCACCTAGCATTGCTTCATTCCCAAGAAAGTTGAGTAATAGTTTTGGGATGACAAGTTAGAAGTAAGATGAACCATGTGACCTCCAAGAACCTAGTGCTGGTTACCGACGAGCACAGGTACACATGGACATTCCTAACATTTCCAAATAAAGGAAGTAGCTTCCCTTCACCCATTGTGCCATGGAGAAAGGCAAGTGAATGGGAGAAAGATGGTTTAGAAACCTAAATTTTTAAGTAAGAAAACTGGAAACCTAAACCAAGACGCAGGAGAAAAAGCTCCAAGTTCTGCTCTGTCCCACGTGGCAGCCACGAGCCATGTGTGGACACTGAGAACCTAAAATGTGGCGAGTGCAACTGAGGAACTAACTTTTAGTTAGTATTGCTTAAATAAAATGTAAATAGCCGCACATGGTTAGTGTCTGCCCAATTAAAGGGTACGACTCTAAAATGTAATGAATGGACTTAAAGTCAGCCCTAAGTGCTGTGACAGAGGGAAGCCGTTTAACCTCCCTAATATCTGCCTCACAGGGTTGACAATATACCAAAGCTCTTAGTAGTATGCCACCAGCATTCAATCAACGGAGGTAAGTATGAAGCAAGCACAAAAATATTCCAACAGTGAGCAAGTCACTAGTGAATGAACGAATGAATGGTGGCTGGTCATTTCCCGGGGGCAAGGACTACGGGAGTTTGCAGGTCTTTTCAACCAGGCATCCACTGGGTGCCAGTGTTGTTTCATCCTCTGAGGAGCTGGTCTGGGAGGAGGTTCTTTGGCCTCTAAGTAGGACAGCTCCATTAGGTGTTTATTTTTAACGCTGGCTGTCGCCTGCTGCTGGAGCACTCTTCTCCAGACTGCTTACTGGTTTGGAGATGATTTCAAGCTGCACCAACCAAGGTTTTCATCTCTGCTGCCAGCGCCTCACTCCCGGCTAGGGTGATGACAAAGCCTGCAGCGAAACTACAGGGCCCCCAAGTCAACCCCATAACCATGCACTGTTCACAAGAGTGGCTAGCGTGTGCGGAAGGCCTACTGTGTGCCAGGCAGTGTGCAAAGAGGCTTCTTGGGATCCTCACTGTGTCTCTTCAAGGGAGTGGAGGATTCTCCTCTTATGGAATATAGGAGGAGAGGTCACTCAAGGCTATGATGGGAGCACAGGGAGAATTTGCCCTAGGCGTCTGACTCCGAGCCCAGGCCCCCAAGCACTGCATGGTTCCTCCCCGCTGAGCACCCAGCATGCATTAGACCCCAGACAGGTGGTGGGGTCCTCAAGAGATGACATTAGGTTCCCAGCTCCCAGGAGCTGGAAATGTGGGTGACAGCTGTGACACAGGGTGCACAGCCCACACCGGGTGCCATGGGAACACAGAAGGGGGAGCAGCTCACTCTGCCAGGGACACCTCACAGGGGCTGTGGACACCATCCCTCTGACCAGAACAGCAGTGGCTTCGGCCACTTTAAAGTCACACTGCCCCCAGTTTCACATGTCTCTAGGGGTTTCCTGAGGCCAGTTCACAAGGTCCCAAGGGATCTTTCAATGCCTTCTGGGAAATCCTCTACCACTCACTTCTCTTTCCCAAGGACACGTTCTTGGCAGCCGCTGGCAGCCCTGCAACACGGTGCCAGAGGCTTCCAAAGCTGCCCGTGCCGGGTAAGTTCATCCAGTACAGTCTATACCATAAGACAGGGCACAGGCGGCAGCTGAGGCCAGGTCCTTGGGCCCACACCACACAGCTGAGAGGGTGCTCTTAGTGACAAGGACAACAACCCTTGCAGCTGGCAGCCTAGCAACTAAGATGGGAACAAGGGCTGAGTTACCCTTCCCTCCCCTATGTCCCCCACCCCTCTCCACTGGTTGCTTGATAGTACGTAGGACATGAATCCTCACTGATCTCTCAGAGCCTGGCTTCCCGCTGTGCTGCGAGCTGTTTGCGTGTAGGTATTACTATCAGTTATTGATATTTACATGACTAATGCCTTATGGTACCTGCTACTAGCTAGGAACTGGGAAACATTATTGAATTGAATTGAATTGAATCTGAGCCCATCATACACCCTCACCAATATCTCTATAACCAACTTGTCTTTTCCCCAGAACTTGTCTGTCCCAAAAAACTATGGCCATAGGTGGACATCCGAGTGCTTTGCTAAAACAGAAAAAATGGCCTTTGAGTTTTGAAGGGAGCACGATATTTTCCAATCCAATTTAATTTCTCACAATTATTTGAGTGAGTATTTGAGCTGGTTATCTCCCATTTTTTCATATGTGATACAGGGATAATAAGGAAAGCTACCTCAAAGGGTGTGGTGAGCATTAAATTAGATAATGAATGCAAAGCACTTGGCGAAATGCCTGACAGATAGCAAGCACAGTAAAGGAGCATACAAACCCCATTTGGAAATTTTAGGAGGCATCAAAAAAACTCAGTCGCTAAGATATACAACTATATCTGTTTCCTAGGGCTGCTGTAACAAAGCACCGCAAACTTGGTGGCCTAAGACCACAGGAACTTATTGTCTCAGTTCTGCAAGCTAAGAGCCAAATATCAAGGTGTTGGCAGAGCCATGCTCTTTTCGAAGGTTCTAGAAGGGGATCTTGACTTGTCTCGTCCAGCTTCTGGTAGCGCCAGGTGTTCCTTGGCTGTGATACCATCATTCCAACTTCTGCCTCCACCTTCAAGTGGCCTTTTCCCCTTGTATGTCTGTGTCTTAACCCCTTCCTATAAGGACACCAGCCATATTGGATTAAGGGAGTCGCCCTACTCCAGTACAACCTCGTCTTAGCTAATTACATCTTCAGTGCCCCTATTTCCAAATAGGGATGTTCTGAGGTCCTGGGGATTAGGGCTCCAACATAATCTTTTGGGGGACTCAAAATAATGACAATACTTTAAAACTACTGAACAAAATGTCAAAATATTAAATAAGGGCAAGATTCGACTCTGCACTTGTACCACCCTACCTCACTCTCCTCATCCAAATATCCACCCTGCCAGATGCTATCTTTATCTACAATTTAGTTGAGGAGTTGCTGGAATTATCATAGGACACTTATTTATTTATCATTTACTTGTGTATTTATGTATTTATTGAGTTGGAGTCTTACTCCGTCGCCCAAGCTGGAGCGCAGTGGCACGCTCACGGCCACCCCAGCATCAACCTGCTGGGCTCCAGCGATCCTTCCGCCTCAGCCTTCCAAGTAGTCGGAACTACAGGTGTGCACTACCACACCCAGCTAATTTTTGATTTACTGTAGAGACGAGATCTCGTCAAGTTGCCCAGGCTGGTCTCGAACCCGCGGGCTCAGGCAATCCATTCGCCTCGGCCTCCCAAAGTTCTGGAATTACAGGCTGAGCCACCAAGCCCAGCCTGTTGTAGGACACTTTAAAAGATATGGGGAAACACAGAGCGGGAGAAGGCCTTCCAGGGGGTTCCAAAATAACGGGAGAAAAATATGCAGACTGAGAAAACAGCAGCTCTGATAGCTCTCGACTGGTCACTGGCCCCGTGTTCTCCTGATGAGCATAAAGAATTTCTCAGAATATCACCATCAGACAGAGGTTCACTGTATCCATGGGGGGAAAACAGAAACGAGGCCACTGCAAAGCCCTGTGTAAATAGATGAAACAAATACACAAACATGCGCAAAGATGACCCGAAAGGTGCTTCTTCTGCTTCTTCCCCGTGACAGCTCACCCTTGTTCACTCTGTTTGGTCCCTGGTGTGTTCCTGGTAGTCACTGGCTGTCAGGCATCCCCAAGATTAACAGCTGCAGTTGGCTGCAGTAGTGGACAAGGTACAAAGAATTCTGCTTGGGGACCACTGAGTAGGGACCACAGAAATGAGGGCTTTGGTCGGCCTTGATGCATGAGGCAGATTTCAATGGGCACACAGAAGGGAGCCCCGCAGAGACAAAAGCATGGCGGGGTGAATGTGTGAGATGCATCCCTTGTACTTCTACCTGGCCGGTCTCCCGTGGCCAGCTCCGCCCCCTCACTTTCTGGCCAACTCCTGTTGGTCCATCATGTCGTAACATTTATCGCCCTTCCTTGTGATCATGATTGGCTGTTCTCTTCTGCCATCAGACTGTGAGCTCTCTGAGGGCATGCCCTTTGTCTTGGTTATCTTTTGGGCCTGAATGTGGTAGGTGTTCAAGGAATGTTTTGGAAAAAGGAAGGTGAGCCGTGAACTAGAATCATGCCACAGGTTGAGAATCTGAGAGGTATCAAATAAAGTGATGAAAAATGAAAATAAAAAATTATCAAGGTTGGAGTCAAATTAGAGAGCTCCTTATTTGCCAAAGTGAGGAATTTAGATTTCGTTTGGTTGGCAATTGAGAATTGTTGAGATATTTGGGGGGAGGGTCACCTTGATGCTGTTGCAGATCAAATGAAATGGATGGAGTGAGAGATGAGAAATTGGAAGTAGTGAGACCAGGTAAAATCCTACTGCAGTACTCCAGAAAAATCTTGACAAGGATCTGAACAAGGGCAATACCAGTGGAGACAAAAAGCAGAAGATCAAGATGAGAGTACAGAATATGAAGGATTTGATGGCTTGAGAGATGTTTGGAATGCTCTAAACTTTATTCATCCTGGCTTTTCTGGCACAGTATTTCTGGCTAAGTTCTTAAGCAGGTGTGTCCTCGTAATTATGTTTCGCTTGAGTTAATATGAAATTGGCTTCTACACCTTAAACACACAGCCTGATCCCTGGAACATGTGGATGTTAGGTTGCATGGCAAAGGAGAAGATTGCAAGTGGCATTAAGGCTGCTAATCAGCTGACTTCAGATAAGGAGGTTGTCCTAGATCATCCAGGTGGGTCCAATGTCACCAAAAGGACTGGCATAAGTAAAAGAGAAAGAAGAGAACCAATTGTGATGGTAGCTTGAGGAAGACTTTCCTCATCTTGTAGCTTTGAAGATTGAGAAAGGGATCATGAAACCACGAATACAGATGGTCTCTGCAAGCTGGAAAAACACAAAGGAAGAGATTCTTCTCTAGAGTCTCCAAAAGAAACGCCATCCTACTGAGACCTTGATGTTAGCTCAATGAGACACATGCTGGACTTCTGACCTCCAGAGTTAGAGGATCACTTTTGTGTGGTGTTAAGCCCCTAGTGTGTTTTCATTGTTATAGCAATGAGAGGAAATGAATGCAAAATGTTTCACAGAGGGCTGGCCATAGGATGCTGGTGGACCAGCCTGAGAGGAAATGTTATTGCAAACTGGGAGCTAAAGGATTTGCTGTTTGTTTCAAATGCCCCTCATGTGCCATCCCTGAAATGGTCTGTCACAGGACTGAAAAGGCATCTATTTCAAGTTAGAGCATACAGCATAGTTATTCTAGGCCCTGTAGTAATTTCTTTGTATACTTGCCTTGCCTCATCATTCAGGAAGCAGCATTTACTCATTCAGGAAGCCGCATTTATTCACCTCGATGTCTTTTACTAACAGCAATGGAGTCAGTGGTAGTTTTTGTCTTCTAAACAAAACAGGTGTGTATAAAGGCATTACATTAATTCTCTTGCAAGCCATCCAAAGATAAAGTAAACAGTTTGAGAGGAGCAAAAAGAACTCCTATACACATGACATGCCTTACATGTTTTATAAATGACCTCATTTAACTCTGTAGAAATCCTAGGAGGCCAGCATCATTATCCACATGGAAAACATAATAAATAAATAAACCTGACTCTGATAAAAGAAGGATGGAGATGTGATTCAACAGAAGGTCTCTAGGACTTCAAATCCATGGCCTTTTCCACCTCTTCCTGCGGATTCTCAACAAAGACAATCTGAAAATATCACCCTCCCAGAATCATTAGATGGATGTCTATCAGGTCACGAAAACCCCCCATCTTCTGTTTGCAGTGTGCAGCTGTGTGCATGGGGTGTGCAACAGTGGACGAGATGGTGATGGAACCTGTGAATGCTACTCTGCGTACACTGGTCCCAACTGCGACAAGCGTAAGTACTGCTAGTCTTCCTAACCCCGTACCAGATCAATAGGCACAGATGTGTGCATTTATTTTTTTATTTTTGTAAATTTTATTTCATTTTAGATGCAGGGAGTCCATGCATGTTTGTCACATGGACACATTGTGTGCTGGCAGGGATTGGCTTCAGGTGATCCATTCCCCAGATACTGAACATTGTACCCAAATTCCCCTCGCTACTTCCTCCCTTTCAGTGTTCCCAGTGCCAATTAATGTACCTCCCCCATAGAAGTAAGAGCATACAGTGTTTGGTTTTCTGTTTCTGGATTAGCTCATTTAAGATGATGTTATCTAGCTCCATTGGTGTTGCTGCAAAGAACATGATTTTATTCTTTTTTATGGCTGTGTAGTATTTCATGGTATGTATACCACATTTTCTTTATCCAGTCCATTGTTGGTGGGCACTTACATTGGTTCTATTATTTTGGTATTGTGAATAGTGCTGCAATGAACATTTGAGTACAGATATCTTTTTATATTATAATTTATTTCCCTTTGAGTAGATACTTAACAGTAGGGTTGCTGGATTGCATGGTAGTTATATTTTTGTTATTTGAGAAATATCCATACTGTTTTTCTATAGAGGTTTACTAGTTTGCAACCCCACCAACAACGTACAATTATTTCCTTTTCTCTGAATCCTTGCCAACATCTGTTTTGGGTTTTTTTGTCTGTCTTTTATTTTTTATTTATTTATTTTTTTTTTTTTTTTGAGTTGGAGTCTCACTCTGTTGCCCAGACTGGAGTGCAGTGGCCGCTTCCGGCCACCACAGCCTCAACCCGCTGGGCTCCGGTGATCCTTCCACCTCAGCCTTCCAAGTAGCCAGAATTACAGGCGTGCGCTACCACACCCGGCTGATTTTTTGATTTATTGTAGAGATGAGGTCTCGCCTGCCCAGGCAGGTCTCGAACCTGCAGGCTCAGGCAATCCACTCACCTCAGCCTCCCAAAGGAGCGGGATTACAGGCTGAGCCACCGAACCCGGCGTGTCTTTTTATTTTAAAGATGTGGGATACAAGTCAGAATAAGGTATATAAGGGATCATCATATAGGTAAAGTTTGGACCTTCACTTTGCCTGGTTTGAGATCAAGTACCCTTACTGATGTTGTGTCTCCTTCCCACCCCCAACCCATTCCTGCCAATCCCTTTCTTATCATATTATGGTAAATATTCAGGGTCCATTTATGAGTGAGAACATATGGTACTCTGTTCTTTGCTTCTGTGATAGATCACTGAGTATGATAGACTCTAAATTCATCCAAGTTGTTGCAAGGTCCATACATTTGTCCTTCTTTATGGCTGTATAATATTCCATTGTGTATATGTATCACATTTTTAAAATCCAGTCCAGTTTCAAAGGGAAGCACAGTTGGTTCCATGTTTTTGCTGTTGTAAATAGTGCTGCAATAAACATGCATGTGAAGATATCTGTTTTGTAAAATGATTTGAGTTCCTCCTGGTATATTCCCAGGAATTACTGCATCATAGGGAAGGTCAATGTCTAGTTCTTTTAGAAATCGTCACATTGTTTTCCAAAAACGTTGCACTAGGTTTGCATACCCACCAGCAACATTTCTTTTTCTCTGCATCCTCACCAGCATCTGTTGTTGTTTGTTTTATTAATGATGGCCATTCTTACAGAGGTTAGGGGGTATCTCAGTTTGGTTTTGATTTTCATTTCTCTGATGATTAGTGAGGCTGTGCACTTTTTCATGTGTCTGTTGGCTGCTCATATATCTTCTTCTGAGAAGTTTCTATTCATGTCTTTTGCCCATTTTTTAATGGGACTGTTTGTTTTTTTCCTTTTGGCATGTTTGAGTTTCTTGTGGATCCTAGATGTTAGGCCTTTGTCAGATATCCAGCTGACAAATATTTTTTCCCATTCTGTGGGCTGTCTCCCCACTTGCTTGATGGTGTCTTTTGCTTTGCAGAAACTTTTCAGTTTGATGAGGTTCCACTTGTCTATCTTATCTCTTATGGCATAGGCTCTTGGGGTTTTGATCAGGAATTGGTTGTCATTTCCCATTTCCATAAGAGTTTCTCCTGCATTTTCTAAGATTCTTATAGTTTGAGGTTTTATGTTTAGGTCTTCCATTCATTTAGAGTTGATTTTTGTGTATGGTGATAGGTAGGGGTCCTGTTTCAATCTTCTGCATGTGGACAGCCAGTTTTCCCAGCACTGTTTACTGAATAAGTTCTCCTCTCCCCAGAGGTTGTTGGTAGAGGTTTTGTCAAATACGAGTTGGTTGAGAAATTCAGACTTTGCTTCTGGAATCTATCCTGTTCCATTGTTCCACGTGCCTATTCTTGTACCAATACCAGACTCTTTTGATTATTGTAGCCTTATAGTAAAGTTTAAAGTCTAGAAGTGAGATCCCTCCTGCTTTGTTTTTTTGCTAAGGATTGTTTTGGCTATCCAGGTCTGAGAAGAATGATGTTGGTAATTTAATGGGTATTGCATTGAATCTGTAGATTGCCTTTGGTAGGATGGACATTTTAACAATGTTGATTTTTCCTATCCGTGAGCATGGAATATTTTTTTATTTGTTTGTGTCTTCTTGGATTTCTTTGAGCAGTGTTCTGTAGTTCTCATTGTAAAGATCTTTCACTTCTCTGGTAAGGAAGATGCCAAGGTCTTTCTTTTCTTTTTTTTCTTTTCTTTTCTTTTCTCTTCTTTTCTTTTCTTTTGTTTGTGGCAATTGTGAATGAGATTGTGCTTTTTCTTTCTTTTTTTTTTTTGTTGTTTTTTTTTTGAGTTGGAGTCTCACTCTGTCACCCAGACTGGAATGCAGTGGCCGCTCCCGGTCACTGCACCCTCCACTGCTGGGCTCCAGCAATCCTTCCGCCTCAGCCTTCCAAGTAACTGGAACTACAGGCATGCGCTACCATGCCCGGCTAATTTTTGATTTATTGTAGAGATGAAGTCTCGCCAAGTTGCCCGGGCAGGTCTCGAACCTGTGGGCTCAGGTAATTCACTCACCTCAGCCTCCGAAAACGTGGGATTACAGGCTGAGCCACCGAGCCCGGCTAGGGATTGTGCTTTTTCTTTGGTTCTCTGCCTGCTTGTTGGTGTATAAGAATGTGACTGTCTTTTGCACATTTATTTCTGTACCCCAAGACTTTGCCAAAGTCCTTCATCAGTAATAGCAGGTTTTTGACAGATTTTCTTGAATTTTCAAGGTATAGGATTATATCATCAGTAAAGAGGGATAACTTAATTTCCTCTTTGCCTATTTGTGTATTCTTGATTTCCTTCTCTTCTCTAATTCCTCTAACTGGGACTTCCAACACAATGTTGAACAAGAGGGGTGAGATTGGGCAGCCTTGTCATATTCCAGTTTTCAGGGGAAATATTTCCAGTTTCATGCCATTTGCAATATGCTGACTGTGGGCTTATCATAGATGGTGCTTACTATTTTGAGGTATGTTCCTTCTGTGTCTAGGTGTTTGAGGATTTTTTTTATCAAGGGACACTGGATTTTACCAAAAGCTTTTTCTACATCTAATGATATAATCATGTGATTCTTGTTTTTACTTCTGCTGATGTATTTTATTGTATTTATGGTCTTGAGGTTGTTGAACCATCCCTGCATTCTGGGGATAAAGTCTACTTGGCCATGGTGAATGATTTTTTAGATGTGTTTTGGATCTGATTTGCTAGACTCTTGTTGAGAATTTTTGCATTTATTTTCATTAGGTATATTGGCCTGTAGTTCTCTTTTTTTGTTGTTGTTGGATCTTTACCTGGCTTGGGTATCAGTGTGATGTCAGCTTTGCAAAATGATTTGGGGAGAATTCTGTCTTTCTCAATTGCCTGGAATACTTTCAGTAGGATTGGTATCAGCACATCCTGGTACATTTTGTAGAATTCCACTAGAAAGTCACCTAGCCCAGGGCTTTTCTTCCTTTTTTAGGTAGGTTTCTTATGAAGGAGTCAATTTCCTGGGTTGTTGTTAGTCTATTTAGTGTCTCATGTCTTCTTTTTTCAACCTTGGGAAATTGTGTGATATCAAAAAGTCCTCCATTTCATTTAGGTAATCAAATTTAACCATGCAGGTATGCATAGTTATATCTGATAATCTTTTGTATTTCTTCGGAGGTCAGTTGTGATTTAATCTTTTGCATTTATGTTTGTGTTTATTTGGATTTTTTCTATCTTTTTCTTGGTCATTCTGACTAGGGGTCCATCAATATTGTTTATTCTTTCAAAGAACCAGCTTTTTGTTTTGTTAATTTTGTTCTGTAATAGTTTTGTCTTCTATTTCCTGCATTTAGGCTTTTACTTTGGTGATCTGGATTCTTCTGCTAAAGTTAGGGTTCTGGTGGTATTGTCTTTCCAGCTCTCTTCAGTGATTTGTTAGGCTATTAACTTGTGATCTTTCCACTTTTTTGATGTGTGGTCATAGAGATATAAATCCCCCTCTTAGAACTGTTTTCATGACCTCCAAGAGGTTTTGGTAGGATATTTTTTCATTTTCCTTTGTTTCCAGGAACTTTTAATTTCTGCTTTGATTTCTGTGTTGACCCAGTATCATTCAGCATCCTACTGTTTAGTGTCCTTGTCTTCATAGGTTTTGGGGGAATTTTGTTGGTGTTGATATTTATTTTTATTCCACTGTGGTCTGAGAAGGTTCATGGCAGCATTTTGATCTTATGAAATGTGTATATGCTTGATTTATGGCCAAGGATGTGATTGATCTGGGAGTATGTTCTATGTGGTGATGAGTAGAATATATAGTCTGTGGTTGTTGGGTGGAGTATCTGTAAGTATCTATTAGGTCCATTTGGTCAAGTGTCAAGTTGAAGTTCTGAATCTCTTTGTTGATTTTTTTGTCTTGATTATCTAACTAGGGTTGTTATGGGGTATTTAAGTCCCCAGCTATAATAGTGTTAAAATCAATATCTTTTTTAGTTTACTTAGTAGTTTCTTTATAAACGTGAGTGCTCCTGTGTTGGGTGCATGTATGTTT